CTGGGGAAGGGTGGATGCTACTGACATCTAGTTGGTAGAAACTAGAGATGCAGCTCAACACCCTACAATGCACAGAAGAGCCCCTAAAACAAAGAATTTTCCAGCCCCAAGTGTCAACAGTGCCTAGGATGAGAAACCCTGCAGTAGGGACACATTAAGTGGCGCTTTCCTCCTGGGGTCATCTTTGTGAAGACATGATGCTCTGTTGCCACCTAGGGAGCATCAGGAGAAATTCAACTGAGTCACAAAGATGCAGAATCCTTATGCTGCTGAGTTAATCTGGAATTGTCTACCCCAAGGACTTGTGATTATGTGACAGAGGAAACTTCTATTCAGTGTCCTTAGGCCGCTGTTCTATACCGCTTAAAGCATGAGAAGTAACAGGGCTCCATGCACACCACACACACACACCAACTTACCCATCTACAGAATGTGGCAGGGCAAATGTGAATGAGGAAAGGGTCCTAATGGAGAAAATTATAAAGAGCCCAAAGTTGGCAAGGAGTCAGCACCCCCTCCCCCAGCCCCATCCCATGGCGAGATGTCCCAGGTGAGGGCAATGCTGCTGGATTCACCAAAGGTCACCCTCCAGGACAAGGTCTCTTGTCTTCCTGTCACTCTTCCTTCCCATGGTACAGATGCAAAAAATAAATGTGTACATAAGGAATGAACAATTGGGGCATAAGCACCAAGCAGTCTAAGTACAAATATCAGTTTTTGGGGAGGTTCTCCGAGAACCCCACTTACCTTTCAGAAGTTAGTTTTGGCTGCAAGGGTAGGGGCTCCCTATTCTTGTGAGGGGTTGAGTTTCTCCAGACCCTGTGAAGCAACCCAACCTTCTGGGTCACTCACTGGGCCCTCACTCATCTTCTCCACAGAGAGGTGAGAACATAGTTTAAGTATTGAAATCTTCAACTCTTAGTTGTCAAGTTTCTACTCCTATCTTACCCAACATTTTTGTTGCCTTTTAAAAAGGTTCCCAACAGGATGTGACCAGATTCCATGAGCAAGACCTGTTGGGTCTACAAAGACACAGCTACAATCTGTCTCTCTCTCCTTCACTGCCGTGCTGGTGCAAACTTCTCTAGGGTTTTCTTTGGGGGGGGCGGGGATGGGAGGAGGTAGGACTAGTGCAGTAGTCTCCACCTGTTCTCTCTGCTTTCCATCTCACTTTCTCACACCTGTAATCAGTCCTCTGCCTTGTTTCTAGAATAATTTCATCTTTCCCAGTCCCTTCCTGGAAACCCTATGATGACTTTCCACTGTGCTTAGAACAGCACCCAGAGCCCTTGTCCTCACATGATCTGGGTAATACACCATTGTGTCCCTTTTCTTCTCACATACTGGCTGCAACCTCAGGGCTTTTGCACAGCTGTTCCTGTGCCTATAATACCCTCCCAGGAGTGCTGCATGATGGGCTCCTTCTTGATATTCAGGTCTCTGCTTAAACATCACTCTTTGAGATCAGCCTTTTCCATATCAGTGGTTTCCAACAGATAAAATTAGGGGAAGAATTAACTATAAACAGGCATGAGGGAATTTTGGGGGAGAAGATGAACTGTTCTATATCATTTTGTGATTGCTATTCAACTGTTTGTCAAAATTCAGAATGGTGCACTAAAAAGGGGGACACTTTTACCATATGTATACCTCGAACTAGACTTGAGTAATACAAGCATTGAATAAAAAACTGGCATTTTCAGATCCCATAGTCAAAAATAGCTGCCCTATTCTCTAACATGTCACTTTTTCAACTGTCTTCAAATTTGCGGTTCAGGTATTTGCCCCTCGCTAGAATGTCGTGAGTTCCAAGAGAGCAGGACCTTTGTCTATCTTATATCTGTCAGCCCTAGCCCAGTGCTGGGGATTTTACAGAATAATTATGACATCATCCCCTACTTTTGGAATTTGGAATAAAATGAGAAATTAGTTAGATGTAAATGTTCATTACTCATAGCTCCACTGAGGCTGGTGGTGCACATCTGCAACTTCCTAACACTTTGCCATAACCCAAGTCCTCCAGCCACTGAAAGCTTGCTGCTCAAAGGAGGAAAAAGTGCATGCATCTCGACGACAGGATGCTCAAAAAGAGCACCCAGAAGGGGCTAAACCACTCAGGTCCAGATCTTCCTCCCATCCTCACCAACTAGGCAAATCCCTCCTCTACCCTTGGAGATGGCCGAGGGGCACAAGGAAAAGACACAATATATCCTTTCCAACAGGGTGAAGTGAGAGGAAAGTGACTTCCGCCCAGCATAGAGTAGTGCATCGGGTGGACTCTAGCTGGCCCTGTGATTCCCTTCTCCTGGTTTTCCCACAGATTAGGTGATCCTCCAGCATGGGAGATACTTGTGACTTGCTTCAAGCCAAATAGAATATGGCAAAGTTGATGGGCTCTCCACTTCTGTGATAACATGAAGCCCTCCATCCATCTGCTGGCAAAGTAACAAATGTTCCTAGGAACTATATGAACTTGGAAGAGGTTCTTTCTCCAGTTGGGTCTCAGATGAGACCACAGCCCTGGTTGAGATCTTCATTACAGCCTCATGGAACCTTGAGGCAAAGGATCCAGCTAAGTCACACCTGAACTCAAAAAGTGTGAGATAATACATATATGCTGTTTTAAGTGGCTGCGTTTATAATGTTGTAAATAGCAACTGATAACTAATAGAAGGAACCTTGAGGCAAAGGATCCAGCTAAGTCACACCTGAACTCAAAAAGTGTGAGATAATACACATATGCTGTTTTAAGTGGCTGCGTTTATAATGTTGTAAATAGCAACTGATAACTAATAGAAGTAGGTATTAAATATCAGTGGGATGAATGTTCTAGTCACTCCCAGTGTTGTTTTTCAGGAATCTCTCTCTTCAAACTCACCCTATGAGATAGGTATGATTTTACCTATTTTACAGACAAGAAGTCAAAAGCTTATGTAGGGTGACGTTTGTCTAGTGTCACAAAAGCCATTTAGTAAAAGAGCCAGGATGTTAACACAGGTCTGAATCAAAACTTGTTTCTTAAACTTGGCTTCTCCCTTTGGCTTTTTCTGTTAGGCTGTAATTTATAAAGTGGGGTGTATGCACTGTTGGGGGATAGGGGTTTGCACGTCGTACTAAAGATAACCCATTGGACATAGAAAAAGGCATTATATTTTTAGTTTTATATAGTTGTCCTTTGGTATCATGGGAGACTGGTTCCAGGATCCCTGCAGATGCCAAAATTCAAGGATGCTTAAGTGTCATAAAAGAGTGTAGTACTTGCATAAAACCTATGCACACCCTCCCATACACTTTAAATAATCTCCAGATAACATACCTAATACAGTGTAAATGCCATGTAAATAGTTATATGTATTGTTTTTTATTTGAATTTTTTATTGCTCTATTGTTTTCCCCTGAATATTTTCTGTGATTGAATCCATGGTTGTGGAAGCCACAGATATGTCAGATGGTCATATATCCCATATGGGAGAAAGGGTATTCTGAAGGAAGATTGAGACTTTAACTCTGAAGGACTAACTGGCACACTTACCCACTATACATATTCACCTCACAAACCACACCCCATTGGTCTGAGGTCCAAGCACTATATAACAGAAACTCTCCCAGAACATGTGTTTAAAAAGTATTCCTGCCAAGAAATCAGATTGAAGATTATGCTAATAACATAAGCTCAGGTAAACTACAGAGCTGATATTTCTCCTACACCTCAAACTTTATCAGCCAGATGATAAGAGAAGGTGGGCGGGGGGCAGCCCAATCACCATCTAATTTGATCTGACAGGGAAGAAGGCTAAAAATTTTCCAGATCTGAAAAGTAATGCTTGAAGGTTAGATCTACACGCTTTACAGTGAATGACACAGGAAATGGTTGTAGTAGAGAAAGACAACATTCCAGTTACGAGAATGGACTCCAGAAAAACATTTCTTGGGTTTGAATGGCAGCTCTGCTACTTATTGGCTGTGCATTCTTAAACTCCCCATGCCTCAATTTCCTCATCAGTGAGGTGGAGGTAGAAACAGTACCTACCTTCAGGTGAAGATCAAATGAATTGATTTATAGATAGAGCTTAGAAGAGAGCCTGGCACACAATAAAGCCTATGTGTGTTAGCTACCACCACCATCACAGATTAGAGAAACAAACATAAGAAATCATAAAAAGTACGTATTGATAAGTACACGAGAATTTTCCTCTCTTCTAGGAACAGTCTGTTCTGGAGCCATGGTAACAAGTAGCTACTTAAACAGGTTTAAACCCATTCAGTAGATCCCTGTTCCTCAGGGAACAGGCTTTTTACAAGCCAACCAATGGCTGCACTTTGCTTCAGAAGTTCAGCCAGTCAGTAAAGGATTCACCCAGTGGACATAACTGGGTGTCAGGCAGTATCACCTGGTACTACCTGTCGATTCACACCTTGAAGATTTAATCCCTGAATTTCACCCTTCCCAAAGTCCTTTACCTACAAAAATCAGTGGTTTGCTCCACTCAGAGACACTGTGATGGACGAGCTCTTCTTTACAACACTAAGCAAATAAACCCAGCTTTGTGTTTATAGTTCAGACACTGAGTGACAGTCACATCATCCTTTGATACTCAGATGGGCTTTAAAACCAGCAGTTGTGTTACCCAAACTTGGGGGCCACTTGAGGACCTAAGTCCTCTCAAACTCTGCTCTTAAATTGTATGCCCACTGGTCAAGAAGACCACTTGACACTTTTTCCAAATGCTCTCAGTGTTTATTTGATGCCCTCTATATGCTCTGTGGTAGGACAGACATTTCATAGATACTGAGGTCTTATGACTTGAAGGTCACAAGCCTTCAAATGCAGTAACCAAGTTATATTGAACACAGAAGAATCACTACCACTGAGGGCTTTGTGAAATCAGAACTCATTCTACATCTTTGAGAAGGAACTTCTGGGCACAGCTTGCTCTGTGAAGACAGGTTTTTAAGTTCCTTTGTCAAAAGGGGTGTGAGTGGGGAAGGTTTTCCTGTCTTCAGTTTTTCCACCAGTACCGGTCATCTTCATCAAAAGAATACCAACCACCATCAATTACAATGTGAGGCTTGACAAGTTGTAGATCCTTCAGAAGCTTTTTTATTTGCCTAGGATATTTCCATTTCCACAGCCTGGGGAAGCAGAAAGGGGACACATTACTCTGAGATTTTGCTTTGTACTCTCCTCCCCTCCTATAAAGTCCTGAGAGCCCCATCAAGGATCTCAAACCTTTTCTTGCATGCTTAAGGAGCATAGCATGTTTCCCTTAGCATAAAAGCAGTAGCATGCTTCCTACATGTAAAGAAACTCCTTGATGTGTCAGATACTACACTGAACTTTTTCAGGCATCTGCTCCTCCCAGCAATCCTAAGAGGCAGGCATGATTATTCATCCACCCATGAACTCCTTCCCGAGAATCTACTTTGTGCTGGGTCCTGTCACAGGGTTTATAGGTACAGTGCAGGACAAGGCAAGGTTCCCACTCTCACCAAACTTATGGTCTAGCAGAGGAGAGAGAGATGGGTATTTAAGCAGATGCATATCATCATCCCCATTTTACAGATGGGGAAATAGGCTCATGAAAAGTCAGTCAGTAAAATCCAGGTCTGACTCTTCTGCTCAATTTCAACTACTAAGTCCCATAGTCACCACCTGATCTTGTCAAAAGGCTATTCTGTCTCATGAATCATTGATACAAACATGCTCTTTCAACCCAACATTCTGCCTTTTCAGCTCATTTGCCCAAGTGATCACTGTAACTGTTTTTTGATCACACGAAGGTCTCCAAATCCATTAAGCTATGTTTCCCAATCCATCTTCCTCTCCCACCTTCACTTCTATCTACCCACCTCCACTCCCCCCACTGCCCCGATCCCACAGTCCATCAAAACCACTCTTAGCTTCCTTCTAGTTATACCCACATGCCGAAACTTGAACCCTGGATAAATCCAACTGCTATGAACAGGACAATACTGGAGAAATAGTTTACTCAACTGAGAAATTTGCTATTCATATAAATACATCATAACATCCTCAGGTGGGCTGTGGATGCTGCCAGCCTTATATTTTCCCAGTCAAGTGTTTACATCCTCCAATTATAACTATACTTCTTGACTCTTGGGGATGCCCTTAGCTTCCATTTTGTCTATGAATAAGAGGCACTAAATGACAAATACTTTTTCTAACACCAAACATAGAAACTATGCCTATGAACCCATCATTTTCACGTGAAGGAAACCCTTATTCTTAAAGGATAGTCCTGATTAACCTCCTATGAACTCCATTAACTCAGCCCTCCAGAGTTGTACAACATGGTAGCCCTTGAATATCTCGTTTTCAACCTCTCACTCTGGTAGACCATGTGCCTGAGCAGCTGAGCATAGTCTGATACTGTCATAACAAAAGCATCCTGACGAGCTTACGCCATCCTCCAGTACTACCCAGTTTTTTCTCTTCTGAACAAAATCTTTCTTAAATAGCCTACACACATTTCAGCTTCCTCTCGTTCTTCAGTCACCTCAGCCTGACTGCTCTTCACCATGACACTGAAACCTCTCAGAGAGGTTAATCATCTCCAAAACACCGCAGTCAGTAGACTCTCTTCTCATCTTACTTTATCTTTTAGCAGCATTAGACACAGTGGCTCACTTCCGTCTTAAAACCTTGTCTTGTCTTAGCTCGTGATGCCATATTCCATTGGTTTTCTTTTTAAGTTTTGCTACTACACCTTATATCCTTTGCTGGTTTCTCTCTTTCTCATCTTCCAGTGATAACAGATGACACTTGTTTACCGTATTCAAGGCTCTGTCTAAGCTCTTACTTAAATTCCCATAACCATCCTAGATGTCCCCCATATTTAGAAAATAAAATGGAGGCACAGATTAAAAACCTTCCCTGAGGTCATAAGCAAAAAAACACCCGAGAATTTACGGCCAGCCAGTGTGGCTCCAGAGCCTTGTGCTAACCATTCTTTTACACTGCCTTCTCAACTCTGAGATTTTGAACCTTTGGGAATTCAATCTCTGCCAATAATTCCTTCCTAGGGGTCTCAGTCAATGGCTTTAAAAGCCTCCTTCCATATATTGGCAGCTCCTAAAGTTTTATCTCTAGTTCAGACCCCTTAACAGAGCTGTATACACAAATAGTTTTATCTTGGTTACTTAAAGACCTCTTTGGGATGAGTAGGCATCCCATACTTCAATATTTCCAAAATTCAATTTTGATTTACTGTAGTCCCCCCCTTATCATCAGCTTTGCTTTCTGTGGTTTCAGTCACCTGTGGTCCAAAAATATATGAAAAATTCCAGAAATAAGAAATTCATAACTTTTAAATTACATGCCATTCTGAATAACATAATGAGATTTCATACCATCCAGGTATGTCCCACTCGGGATGTGAATTCTTCCAGTGCATCCAGGCTGTAGAAGCTACCTGTCCTTTAGTCACTTAGCCACCTCAGTGATCAGACTGCCTGTCTGGAATTGCAGTGCTTGTGTTCAAGTAACCCTTATTTTACTTAATAATGGCCCCACAGTGCAAGAGTGGTGATGCTGGCATATTGTTAGAATTGTTCTATTTTATTATTACTGTTGTTAATCTCTTACTGTGCTTACATTATAAATTAAATTTCATCCTAGATATGTATGTATAGAAAAAAACACAGTATATATATTATTAGTTCAGCACTACCTGGTTTCAGGCATCCACTGAAGGTCTTGGAACATATCCTCCATGGACCAGGCAGGGGTCTACTCTATGTAAAGCCTAACATCTGCTCTCCCTCAGTCTTCCATTTCAGGAAATGGCACCTCCATCTTCCACCTGCTCATGTCAGAAACCTCTGTGCCATCTCCTTGATTCTTGTCACTGGCTGAACTACCACATTCAACACACCCAGTCTTACCAGTTCTATCTCCTCAATCTGATCTCACCAACCACCCTCTTTCTCTCTATTCCTGCTGCCACCATAACCCTCAACGTGGGCCAATGCCATCTCTTACCTGGGTTACTGCAGCAGCTTCCCCACTGGTCTACCTGCTTTTACTGTTGGTCCAACAGGTCATTCTCAACAAGGGAGCCAGAGTAAGCTCTTAAAACTTAAGTCATGTTGTGTTATTCTACTGGCTAAACAATACCAACGACTTCCAACTACACTGTAAATTTTATTCTAACTCCCTAACTCTGGCCCTGCAGGAACTGCATGTCTAGCCCTGCCTACCTCTCCTGGATCTCCTCTCCCTTGCTACTTGGTTCTAGACACACTCTCCAGGGCAAGAAACAAAAGGGCAAATTTAGCTCAGGTCTTCAACCATGCTATGGATGGTTGAATGCCTGGACATCTCTTAAGTCTCAACTTAAAGTGTCCCATCTTCCAAGAAGCTATTCCTAAAACCTCCAGATCTATTTTTTTCTTTTTATTGTTTAGTAGTATAAATATAGAAGAAATTTGCTTGTTGATTCTTTTTTTTTTGTCTTTTTTCATGTCCGGCAATGGACCGCAACCCTCAGTGTCGCGCCCGCACCGGACCAGGACCGGCAACGGGATCGCAACCCTCGGTGCTGCGCCCGCCCCTCGCTCAGCCAGTGAGCAGGAACCGGTCTGTATGTGGGATCCGAACCCTCGGCGGGAGCGCCGCCGCGCTTCCCAAGCAGCGCACCGTAGCAGTGCTCTTAAGTCTCAACTTAAAGTGTCCCATCTTCCAAGAAGCTATTCCTAAAACCTCCAGATCTATTTTTTTCTTTTTATTGTTTAGTAGTATAAATATAGAAGAAATTTGCTTGTTGATTCTTAGATACTGGGCATTTGGGTTATCTCCATGTTTTGTTGTTATAAAACTTACTATGAATATTCTTGTATAAGTCTGTTTGTGGATATGTTTTTAATTCTAGATAAATACCTAGGAGTGGAATTGTTGAGACACAGTTCACCAAAGTGATTGTAACAACTTAAACACCCATCGGCAACATATGGGAATTCCAGTTGCTACACATCTTGCCAATATTTAAAACTTTTTCATTTTAGCCTTGTTATAAGTGTGAAATGTTATCTAATTCACGATTGAAATACCAAAACATAAAAACATAGATGAATGTATACATAAATATACAAATTATAAATTTATATCAAATTATATAAGCATTCGCATTATATTGAAGAACCTATCATAAAAGAGTAAATATTGTATAAGTTCATTTACATGAAGTCGCAAAACAGGAAAAACTCATCTATGGTCACAGACATCAAATATTAGTTGCCTTTCAGTTGGGGAGAAGGAGACACAGAGAAACTCTCTGAGATGATGAAATTTTTGTATATATTGTTTTGTGTCGATTATAGCAGTGTAAGCAATTGCCACAACTCAAACTTATTTAAGATCTCTGCATTTTCTTGTATATAAATTATACAATGATTAAGGTAGCAATAAAAAACCTATTAAAAAACTCCACACCTCCAGAGCATATCAGATCCTGTGGTTGTATATTTCCAGTCCTACCCTATATTTTTGTTTCATATAATTTGGTCTCCATATAACTTGAAGTGTATACTTGCTGAAATTCTTTGCTAGACTGTAATCCCGAGATTATGTTTTTATCATTGCCTCCCTAGGACCTAGTTAGTGGATCAAGAGAATCTTGGAGGGTGACTGTTACCCATATACAACTTTATGGGAAATCATTTGGGTCTCTTTGAAGGTGAACGCCTATATCGAGGTGAGGAGAGAAGAGGAGAAACATATACTATTTCTCTTGGTCATTAGAATAGCTTCCTCCTATACTCAGCACTAAAAAGTAGCAGAATTTGGGTCTCACCCCAAGCATGTATCCAACGACCATCTTACACTGCCTTTTACTCCACTTATAAATGGAAATTGGCTTAGATTTGAAGACAGTGCTAGAAAATCTGAGATCTACAGTCTTTATGGGATGGAGAGTTTTAAGTGGGGGGGGGGGAGTCTCCTGATTTTTAAAAAGGGGGGGGGAATCTGAGCACTGCTGTACGGCC